AATCATTAAGTTGATGCATAATACTCTCAAAAGTAGACGGTTTTGCTTTTTAAAGTAAATATCTGTGCATCAGAATTTATTCGAAGGAATATATTAATGAGGTATGTAATATTTATATTAATGTTAATTTTTTTAAGTAGCAGTTGCGTATTTTTAATAACATATTTTATCTTTTACAAATGAAAAACTTATTTAAATAACATTTACAAAATTTTGAAATTACTATTTCTAAGAAGCCGTAAGCAAAATAAAGTATACAAAAGAATGTACCCTATAATTTAATGAATTTACGAAAGGTCAATATACATTATTCTGATCTCTTTTCAATTTAATTTCACGCAAGAAGTGTATAAATTATTTTTATACAAATAAGCGTTATTATACTACTGATGGATTTATTCTCTGAATAAACCTTTGATTTATAAAATAATTCAAAAATGTTTGCTTATGCAAATTTTAACAGCTCGAAATCCCAAGTGTCCGGAAGGCACGGGGAAAAATTATGCAGATTTAACTCAAAGCAATTTTTCTTTAACTTACATGTTTAAATCTATTTTTTCAAATTAAACAAGAAGAAAAAACATTACTTTGTGCGAAATTAAAAAAAAATATATTTAAAATTAATAATATATTTCTAAAAGAAAGTATTTCTAATGAAAAGAAACAAGAATAAATTATGTAAAGAAAAAACCTTTCAGCAATTTGGAGTAAATGACAGAGCGTAACTCAAGATCACAAATATGTAAATTAGTTCATGACAACACAAAAGATTATGATCTGTTTTTCTCACAAAGTAGCTTTTTTTTCTTAGCTTTATTTTTTGTTCTTTTTTTTTCAATTATTTTTTGATACTTTAGAATGACAGTTACTTTTTGAAATGTTAGTTTCAAAAAACATTTGCTTTCTCTACTTGATATGCATATGTTGAATAGACTGGCAAGATTGATTTTATAATCAAGAATTTTGGTAGAGTCAGATCGTTTTACGACATTTTTTGACAGTAAAAATTTCAAAAGAGAGATAATAGGAGATTTATAAGGCTAAGTTTCTTTTGTTACGCATTTTTACTGGCATCACTGGAATAACAGTTTCGTTTTCACTCATTGTTCGTTTTTTATTATTCAAAGCAACCAAGAAATCTAATGTATATTTTTCTGGGTTTATTTGCTTTTTCTAAATAAAAATCATATTATTTATTGATGCATTAAAAAATTTATTCTGATTGGTATTACACTTTAATATTAATTTTAGTATATATTTATATATATATATATATATAATCTTAAAATAGATGACATCACCATTATTAAACGATAAATGAAAATTAGTTATAAACTATCCGATGTTCGCTATGGTTCCTATAATTAGTTTACAAAGCAAATATTTCTTACGCACCATATAACAAAAAATATTACTCTATATTTATATTTCTCTTATGTGGCACCATCAACTCGGGTATTTATTTATTGGCAACACTATAGTTATTATTCACTTTAATTGTTTGTCTTAAATAACAATTTATAAGCAGTGTAAAAAACTAATTATACATTCAGTATTTAATTAGATTCATTTTTTAGGTTGTGTTAAACGATAATTTATGCAGCTCTGAATAGTTAGTTACACGTTAACTATTTAGTGAGAATAATTTTGTGTTCTTTACAGAAATAAAAACTTATATTTTTAGAATTTTTTTCCTTTTTAAGATGGCTGTAGAAATTTTAAACATAAATGATGCTATGGTGCCGCATACTGTCATACCAATCTTTGGTGACGGAGCTTGTATTTTTCTAGAAATAGCATTTTATATTATACTATACTCAAATTATGACTCGAGAGGTGCGTGAGGAAGTAGTACAGCACGTAATGAAGAGTTGGGAAGAGCTTTTTTACTTTATCTCACGACAGAAATGGAAATAATTGTAATACTTCTGCCACGCCTACCATGATGAAATGTCCCAACCTCAGATTTACAGTGGTTAGTGAGATTTAATGACTCCCAGATATATTTTAAATTATTACAAAAATTCATTGCATAAAGAACTTTGACAATAACGCTAAAATTTCTTGAAAATAGTTAAAATTGAAATCAAAGTACTTTCATCCGAGCAAAGCCAGCCTAGGTTTCGATTAAAGTTTATATGCTGTACAAGATAATTTTGAAAGGTGACCTAGCTGATCGCCAAAGGTGGCTAGCAACATATAACAAAGCAAAATTTATTTCACACCCAATAATTATTTCATATGAAGCTTAATATTTGTAAAATGGAAATAGAACTATATAAAGAATCTCAAAAAACAATTTATTTTGATTTTATGAAGTTTACTTAAAAACTATTTTTTGTTAAAAATTCTTTTCTGTTTACATACCTTTACAAAGTGATTGTCTATGAAAAAATTAAACTGGATTTGACACTTGTTGGTTGGAGTTTTTAATTGCAATGAAAATCATGAGAAAGACAAGAAATTTGATTTAAGCAAAATTTAGTCAGATTTCTGCTACATTGTTATCTCATTTTAGTCTAGGCGTTATTTTAACATATTTATTAGTAAAGAAATACACTAGAAAAATAACTTATAGACTATACAAAACAATGGTTAAGATAAAATTATAATTTTTATGCACTATTAGAAATAGCTAAAAAAAGCTCATTAAATTTCATTAATTGAATTTTTATATAAAATAAATAAAAACATTTATGAGATTACTTTCCTCTAAACTACATACTTCTAAGTAAAAATCATGATTTTCTGTCATTATTTAAAGCTCGGTTTAAAGGAGGATATGGGACATATTTTCTACAGTTAGCAATATCTGCATGAATAAGCATAATTATTATTTTGAAACATTTGTACTTTTATTTAAAGCTTTTTTAATACCTTTATAGTTATTAGTATCATCAATTATTATTAGGAAAACTATGGAAATCCTAAATAGCTCGTCAAAATTTGGCGAGCGATGCATAACATTGTAAAACAAAGCATTTTTTTCGTACCCATTGCTTTTCACTATGATTCTTAAAATTAGAGGATGGGTAACGCGAAATACGCTGAGAAAAAAAGTATGGTTAAAGCCATCAATGGTAAAATTTACCATGTTTATGGCTCTATGGGAACAAAAAAAAAAAGCACGGTTTCTTTTTGAAGAGCTTTGGTAATGATTTTGGTAAAATAAACATTAAAATACGGTTTTATAATGTATGATAAAATGTAGTAAATGAGGAAAAATCTAGCAATTTTATCATGCTAACTTAGTGGATGGCAAAAAAAAACATTTATTCGTTTAATTTGTTTTTCATCTTTGTATTTTTTACTAACTGAAAAGTAAGGATTCATAATTTTGAAAACCAGAATTTCCGATGAATTGTTATTATCTAGAACAGCAAAAACTACCAAATAAATGATTTAAATACCACAAACTTTGGTTATTATTACCAGAATTATTATTTTTCTTCATCAGTAATGTCATTACCATACAGTATGGTAATTTTACCAGAGATTTTAAAGAGATCTTCTCTCCTTGTACAAATTTTTGCATTCATTATTATCTGTTTAGATGCGTTTTGCCGGAAATAGTCTCCATATTAAGTTCTTCGCTCTCATATTGCAAAAATTACCAACGAATATTTATTTTAGACATCTGGTTCGTAAATATACTTCAAAAAACTATGAAAAAATGCAAAAATATTTTATTTAAAAATATAATTGGAATATTATTTTGAAAATTTGTTCACAAATTAATTGATTCTTTAAGTGATATTGTAGTATCCAACAGCAAAATGTTATAAATGCACGCATATAAACTAACGTATATATTTAAGAGAATTATATAAATATGTCATCTTTATTAATTAATAACTATTGCTGAGGGGGAGGGTACCGATTTTCTATGTTATTGATTTGCCAAAATTTAGTCATACTCAAAATGCAACAGATGGCATTCAAATCGTAATTTTTGTAAAACATGGACTTAAAACAGCTCTTCCTCCTTGATTTTACTTGATGAATGAGAAGCAATCACGGAGGCTGCTGAACGAAGCAAGCTGTTAGAAACACTTTCAAATGTAAAGGATAGGAGTAATTAAAAAAAGAAAGATTTTTCTGCTTTTTTAGCCAAGTCTAAATTAAAAATTCGAAAAAAAAAAATAAACTAAGGCTTCTTATGAAAAAGAAAATTATTTAATTCGCTTTAACAGGTATGGGTATGCTTGGATATTTAACACTAGAAAGACGGAAACTCAGTATATACCTATATTGCCCAAAAGCAGTCAAAATGACTAGATTGTGAATGCGTAAATAAATTTGTTTAAAATTAATTTGTAATATTTTTTATATTATTCACAATTATATAACAAGTTATTAGTAAATATTAACAGTAAAAAAATTATATGTTGTACAAAAGTCACAAAATTCTAAGAAATCGTGTCATTATGTACATCATTGTTTTTCTAATTGAAATTTAAAGCAGTCAGAATGACTTCCTTAGGCAATCTAGTGTAAAAAAAACGCATTTTATAATTACGTTATTTTTTTTGTATCTAATTAGAATCATTAGAAAAAAAGCGTCTTATTTTGTTAACATAACTATAGAGTAAATTTAAATTTTAAAAAAATAAATAGTTTGGAATAATAATCTTTTTAACCTATTTTCCATTTTGAAGCATTTTTGATAACAACTTTTTCTATAAGCATAATTAAGCTGAGCAAAATTGGAAGCTAATTTCACCCAACTTTTTTTCATATATATAAAAAAGGCACTAATGCACGTGGAGTATTTTTCTTATGCTTCCACGATAGAAGACAGCAGCCTTAATATCTTTATAACGACTTCGTCGGTGTAAATCTGTGCAAACTGCAGACGATGTGCTCCAACAAAACAATTATTCATAATATGTAACCTGACGTCAAAAGAGACGTTAACTCATTTACCAATTCTGTCCTTGGTAGGGAAAAACGTTCATAGAGAAAAACGTCATCCGGATACGTGAACAGCATATTTAGTTTTGGTAAAAAGATAGTTTGATGGTCTGTCGTCTCTGATGAAAAGAGTGTCTCAATTTAGATAAATGAGACCTGGACGAACCAGTTCCGCGTTCGGAAAAGAAGAAAAAAAAAAGGAAAGGAAAAAAATAAGAACTGACCGAATTATGATAAAGAAAACAGAAGTTTGATAAAGGAAAAAAAAAATTGAAGAAAGTGAAGTGTCGATCAATCTGGAGTACCCTCTGTTGATCTCAGAAGTTGAAGATCTGTTTGATCAGTGTGGCGTTTTTCCTCCTAGGTCCATTTGATTGGTTTAAAAAGTTGATTCTGTTCTGAAGCATAAATAGTTTTTTAAGATGGGAAGAAGTAAAAGAGACCAAGTTAGTTTAATTATTTATTTTTTATGCATTTTTAAATGTTTATCTTTTTATTAGATATTATTTATGTTTAACTCATATATTTGCTGGAATATCATTTGAAGCAATAATTTCAAATTAAATCTGCAATCAATTGTAGAATAAGAACGATTAATCGCCTGCTTAGTGCTTTCTTTTGCATAGTTTTATTATTGTATAGTATGAAGTATTTTTTTTTTTGTTATTTAATTGAGTGCTTTTTTTTCAAAGACACAAAAAATATAAATAACCTAAAATTTGTTTATATATTATTTTTGAAGCAAGATGCCCTCACGTGTGGTTTACTTTATTTAAGTGGATACGGGATACTGTAAAAAAAGGGTTTCTAGAAATTGGACAAAAATTTGCCAAAATAGTTCCAAAACAAATAATAGTCGAAATTGAAAACCCCGTGTATTCAAAAATGAAACAACACATACTATATAGCATATGTTGTATTTATAGCATATACTATATTTATAGCAAAAGGCTTAGAAACTATGCACTTAGTGATGTGGTGGGAGAAATGTGTAAGAGAGGCATTTGTTGTCTGCATCCCACTATGAACCAAGTATAAGTCGTCTGCATCCTACTACGAACACGTATAAGACATAGAGCATCCTACTACGAACACATATAAGACACAGAGCATCCTACTACGAACACATATAAGACACAGAGCATCCTACTACGAACACGCATAAGACATAGAGCATCCTACGAACACATATGAGACATAGATCATCCTACTACGAACACATAGCATCAGACATAGAGCATCCTACTACGATCTCAGAGGTTTTTAGTTTGAATCCTGCAGTCAGTCAACAAACTCTACCTCCTCATCGCTAAATACATAATATATATGCATTCTGCTCAAAATTTAGTAAATATTGTTTCAATTTGGATTACATTGAGCTTTTAAATTCGATTTAATTCTTTTTATTTTATTTCATCCTCCTCCCTTGTCAATTTGAACATTGTTTGATTTCATTACTTCAAGTATGCATTGCATAGTTTACGTTTAGAACAGTTCTGCTGATTCCGTCATTTGAATATTTATAGTATTCATTCAATCAAAAAGTGAAGCAATACATGTTTTTAATTGTATTTGGAGTTTTAACAACTTTCTTAATAAAATTTATGTTAAAAGCATTTATTAGGCAAATTTTTATTCCATTCTTTTAGTATTTAATTCAGAAATATTTTATTTTAACCCTCCAAGCGTCAGTTATTTTCTTGCCCGATAACTAATGTTGTTGTCGTAGGCTATTAAGGCAAGGGGTGTGATTATTCTTGTTTTCCAGTGGCGCCATCTATGGCCAAGAGTTTGACTTCTGTCACACCCTTTCATAGGGTGGACCCACTCACACATCTATTCAGCCTGATAACTAATCATTTTATTTTGTACTTTTCAAAGAGGAAAGTTAGGCAAAGAAATGAAACTAATTTTATATGAGCCAAGATGGCTCAGGGGATAGAGCGTTCGCCTTCCAATGCGACGAACCGGGTTCGAATCCCTGCCGATACGAATTCCGCATCCGTTCAACAGTTGGCAATTTATCCAGTTATAGTTTCAGAAACAGTACAGTCGCTTGTCAATTTAGTTGTTCAATCTCTGTAGATTTATCTCATTTAGGAGAAAAGGGTTACGCGTTTATTTTTCCTATTTTCGCCAGACATAGTTTAGAGCACTCTTTGCTTAACTGAATCTCGTAATACTGATTACGCATAGCCAACTTTGGTTTTTTGGCTATACTCAGACTCTACAAACAATTTTATACAGCTTAGTTGCTCATCTTCGAAGAACAACTATTCAAATATATAATGTTTTTAAAGATTTTACTGGCTTATAGAAGAAAATGTTGTCTTTAAAATATACTTAAATAAATAGAATAAATCTATAGAATGGTAGTTAAATTTTTACAAATTATGCATCATTTGTTACGATATTTAACTAAAAATAAATGAACTAATCATCACTAAAAACATAGTAATTTCTCTGAATTACTTGGTAGATATTTAATAATTAAATCTATAATGATTGTGTCCATCTAAAAACTTTAATTAAACTTCCTCTTAAATGTAAAAAAAAAAGTCCAAGAGAATTTAATTTTAAAATCTTCAAGAAATTGATAGTTACTTTAGAAGTTACTTTTGAATTTCCGTAATAAAATAATTACTTATGATATTGTTGGAAGTTCGACGACCGTAATATAGATATTTTTGTGATCTTACATTTTCTATTTGACTAAAAACATAACTGCACAGTAGTTTTTTTTAATTTGTTGATCTAGAACTAATAGTTTTAATAATAATTAATTGATTACTTATGCTTATTATTGTTATAAAAACGAAACTTGTCAGTAATGTTAATAATTTCATATTAGGCCAAGGAATTGATAAAAATTAATAGCTGAAACAGCTTATGAGAAATAAAAACTTTAAAAAAATGTTTTCATTAAATACTAAGCGCTTTCTTTTCAAAGCTGATATCAACTTAAATATTTGTAAGTTTTCAAACAATCCAGGTTAAAAAGTTGTAATAACTTCAGATAACATCACACAACATTTTCTTGGAAGCGCTTTAAGCATGGGGAGAAATTTTTCAACGCCAAATTCATTATTATCTAAGTTGTTTACGCACTCATCTAAATATTAAGATTCGAAGATTAGATATCCTAAAATCATTCACGTTTTTAGTTTCCTTAAATTTGCCTCTTATTTTTTTCATTCCCTTCAATATTTAACGCCAAAAATAAAATCGCTGAATAAAAAGAATGCAAGTATCAAGTTTTAATGCAGGAACGATAATTAAAAAAAAAAACTGTTAAATACATTTATAAACTTAAGCAAAAATTTCAATGCCGAAAAACTTCATTTATCCCGTTCTGAATGTCATTTGAAAGTCATACCACTCTGACGTCAGAGTCCGGCCTCCACAACGCCCAATGGAATTGTTTATTCAAGTGACATTTTTCGTGACTTGAAGATAGCAATAAATTTGCATGAAAACACGTCTGAGTTAGATTAAGGACTTAGTAATACCATTTTTTTTATTTATTTATTGATTTATTTTCATTACACAACTTTCACATTTTTGATACTCACTATTATTACTACTTTCGTGTTTTCTTTCTTTCGCTTTTTTTCTCTTTTTGCATTGCACGAAAAAGAAAAAGTTTAAAGAGAAAGAGAGGGAAAAAAAACGTGGATTTTAGTTTTTGTCATGTAGTATTGTTTCATAAATAATGCGTTGCTATGAATACAGTTTTTTAAAAAAATTTTTTATATAGCTAATGAATAAAGAAAAAAACAATGTTACAGCGGTAGCAATTTAGTGAAACTTCGAATCAGTAAATCAGCTAGTAAGTTAAACACCGTACAGAGAATTTAGGTTGTAAATAAATAAAAACTAATTTATAAGCCTTTTAAATCGAAGACAAGAACTTGTTTTACTTGATTTATTCGATTTATTTGTTAACCTTTGTTCATAACTTTCACATTTATGATATTTTTAATTTTATAGGCATTTTTTTTTAAATTACTTATTTTTCGATTTATTTCAAATTTATCCTTGAAATTTATAACTTTACATTAAATAGCCGATACTAATTTTAATAAAAAATTCTCTTCTAAATTAAATTTTTAAAAAAAATGACATTTCCCGAGTGATATTTAGTTTTTACATTCATAATTCAGTTTAAAGTAAATTTTAGAAAACTGTTTAATACAGTTTGTATCAGCACAAATTTGAATGCATCAGTAATTTTCACTGAAGCACTTTGGTAATGATTTTGGTAATATTAACAATAAATTAAGGTTATATATTTTGTGGTAAAATATGGTAAAGGTAGTAAAATTTGGGAACTTAATCATGATACCTTCGAGCATGTCATAAGAACTATTTATTCGGTTAAATTTACTTTTCAGTTTTGAATTATTTACTAAATGTATGGTATTAATAGCAGCAATTTTGAAAACTAGAATATCCAGTAAACTGTAGCCATATGAACGGAAAAATTACCAAATGAATGGCTTAATCACTGTAATTTTTTTTTCATTTAGCAGAATGTTTTCTTTTATTACTAGAAATGTTATTACCCTATAGTTAGGTAATTTTATTAGAATTTTTTTTCACTGTGTATAAATATTTTTTAAAATTGTATTTTATCACCGCGAATAAATAGCCTATCCAAACGACAAATGACAAAAATAATTCACAACGTACCCTTATACTTTTGAATGCAACTTAAAAGAAAAAGAAAAAAAGAAAAAGACAGGAAAATTTATAAGTTAAGTTTCGGCACATGATTTTCGATTACGAATATTTTTGAACTAAATATATTGAACATATTTCGGTATCCGTTCGTATATTCTAAACCAGTTGCAGTATTTTCATTGAACGGATTGAACTCAAAATTTGACAATATTCAAAAATAAGAAAGAGAGAGGGAAAGAAAGAACTTAGATGTAGCCAAATGAAACATCTGAATATTTATGTTGAAAATTTTAAAAATATAGAAATCTTAATTCAAGAATTTAAGAGAGATAAAATCCGTTTCTTTTTTGAAATGATATAAAGACAAATGATTATAACTAAAGAGTAAAATTACTTCTCTATTATTTCTTATTAGTGTGTCTGACATCCTATTTTTCTAAGTTTAAGTAACCTTTTTTTTTCTAAGTTAAAAGTTTTCTAAGTTTCTAGTTTTTACTAAGTTAACATTTCTAAGTTGAGTAACATTTTTTTTCCAAGTACGGTTGATCATTTTTCAAATCTAGGTAATAATTCATTTCGTTTCGAGGAAATGTCCTAAGATAAAATTACAATATTTTTACATTTTATTGACAAAGTAATTTTTCATTTTATTTTATTTTATAACCTTCGTTGAGCAGCGAACCAATTTTTGGGTTTTCGACTACCAATGTTCAACTCCGTAGCCTAGTAATTTCGAGCCCAATCCAGAAGACAAGGGTACTCC